GAAACGAATCGACCCCTCTCATGGAAAGTGGGGTCCACAAATCTTCATCAGAATCGGGATTGGCTGAGCTTAACAAGCTGGAAATGAACAAGAAAATGGGGAAGAAGAAGAGAAACCGTTTGTACAGGAAAGAGCTTGCTCTTTCGTTTATTTTGTTGACTGCTTCGGTTAGAAGTTTGCTATCTGCTCAGGGAATTCACTTTTATTTCCTCTTATTTCAAGGTGTCACTTTTCTCATTGTTGGTCTCGATTTGATCGGGGAACAAGTGAGTTGATTCGTTCGGAGAATTTCTAAATATCGAATCTTTCTGCGTGGATTTCGCCAGTAACGGTAAGTTATGGCCCCCCACCCTCTCGGAGATTTACGTGATCATTGATTGGTATAATTTGTGAAGGATAATCATCCACATTCATGTGTGTTCATTAGAAGATTGATTGCATACTATTTCTCATTAGTGGAAAATTGTTCATCAGAATATAGTATAGATAGTTGGCAGGACAATTGGACTTTTTATTTTATTTTGTTAGTTTGGTGTAATTTATTGTGCCACGTCCTCTTGCAGGATACTTTTTTTTTTTAATTAATTTTTTTTTTTTGAAAATTCGATTCTTTATTGTTGTAATTGACAGATAATGTACAATTCATTAAGTTATTTTCAATGGAGATAACAAATAGAAATGATGTTTTGTTTGCCTCTTTTTACTCATTTTACAGACATACCATATAACTTCCTTACACCCTATTGATCTTTAAAGGAAACAGGGATGCTAGGTTACAACTTACAAGGCAGCAATTAGACCAATAGAAGAAAATAATAAACTTGAACAGACATACGATTTTGGTAATTTTGCTCCACTATTAAAAAATAAATTAGATAAATTTCGGATAAAATGAAAATCCAAAAGACGTTTCTTTTCGACCGAAGTCAACCGCGGTTTTAAGCTTTGAAGAACATAACTAGAACGAAATGATAACATGATAACAAATTCAATCCACTGCAAACAAAGGCATGCATTTCATTTGGACGACAAAACAGAAATTATCGAATAACAAAACTATCAAGTAAATTATCAGAAACGAAACTAATACAGAATCAAAAACATATTTAACCGCTAATCATAAAAAGAACACAAGTACGAGCGAAAATCAAAATACCAGATTGTCAAACATTGATCCATAAAAGCATTATAAATTAACCAGCAAGTGTTTCGTCATGCACAAAACTATTAAATAGAATCATCTTCAACAAACAAAAAAGTTGATAACCCAACAGCTGAGAGCACTTAAAAGAGTCAAAAACAAAACTTGAAAAGAATCATAATTAGGCAGCAGTCTTGCCCTTCTTCTTTTGGATTTTCTTCATGTAGAACTCAAGCTCCTTACCTTCCAAAATGTATCTGTCAAAAATCGAGTGCATAATAATTAGTACAATAACATCCACAAAAACAACACAGAAAACTGTATACAGACAGATATGTATGTACTTACCCATCGGCACGACCACATTGACCTGGACGAGAAGAAATACAAGCCAACAGCCTTCCGGAACTGAACTGCTCTTCAACATGAGGATCAAGTTTGCGTTCCGCCTGTCTTTTCTCGATTTTCCTTAGCACATGGCTGCTCTTCTTGGCTTCCTGGGCAGCCTCTCCCTCCTACCAAGTCAATTCAAGAAAATATGTCACTATCTTCAATTATAGATAGGAAACACAAACACACACGTGTATATATATATAATGCACACGCAAGGAAAAAGACACATACACACACACATATATGTAGATCTATAATGCACACGTAAGGCTATATTCTGAAAAATTTCAAGACTATCTTTCCTATTACTTCAGCAATCAAATCATGTCTCGAAATAAAGTAACCTATGTTCCAAATTTAATACATCAGTTTGAACTGTAGCAATCAAATCAAGGATTTTCAAATTCACAATTTAGTTCTGAAAACCAATTGACAAACTTAAACAAACACTAATTTTAAAAACTAAAAGAGCAACAAATTAATTGATATGCTTAACAAACATAGCCAAGGTTATCCAGATTTAAACACGAGCACATCAATAGATAAAAACTGGGCAAGAAGCCAAGTAGGGTTAGTGTAAGAACCTCAGTTTCTTCTTTCTTATCAGCTCCTCCCTTCTTCTTCCTGCCGATATCAACACCATAGTGTGTGAGATACCACTGCTTGAAAGGGGCAGCATCAACCTGGATAATAGCACTCTTGACAAGTGTCTTTGTCCTGACAAGCTCATTGTTCGAGGCATTGTACACAACATCAAGCACACGAGTCTTTCTAGTGATGGCCTCACTACCCCACGAGTAGTTTCCTGTGTTCAACCTCAATGCCCTCCATTTCACGTTTCCACCTCGAACGCGGATTCTTCTCACTGTCTTGTTCACAGTGTCGAGCTTGGTGTTTGCTGGCTGGCGACCGAGCTCGTACCTAGTAAAAGTCGTAAGGGAATATCAGATTAACGAAACGGATAATTAATTCATGTAATAAAAAATCAATATCAGATTAAACCACAAAAGATTTACATACAATCCCTGGAAACTGTAATACAGGAGCAATATAGTAAAGTGATAAATCTAGAATTAAGTAGTGAAATTTAAAAGAGGGGTAAAATGCAAATAGAAACCCTAATCAAATTAAACCCTAAATTACAGCAGCAATACAAACATTTCCGAATAACATTTGCAATAATCTCAATAATATATAAATCAGAAAAAACAATCAGATAATGAACGAACTAACAGCCATTACTCAGTGAACATACGAGAAGACAAATCGTATTAGACACAGAAGAAATTAACCAGCTAGAAAGAAATGGGTCTGCTAAAATCACAAAATTACAAAACCCTAAAATTACAATCAGATAAATCTGAAACGCAGAATAGAAAAAAGGACTCACTTTCGCTTCTTCCTCCAGGCCTTCTTCTTTCCACCAGTTTCACGCCTCTTGTGCATGGAGTCACGTGAGATACCTGCAAATCCACCATTTTAGAGACACAAACACATACACCCAACAGGAAAAAACGCACAAGAGGATTTGTTCAGAAGAGATACCCATGATTGCAGACTGTCGGCGGCCCTTCTGTGTTTTTTTTTCTTCTCTCGGTTTCTACTCTAGAGACGGTGGATACTGTGAGAAAGTGAGGGCTTTATGTATTAAACCCTAATTTGAGGGATAGGCTTTTTCATTTGGGCCTTCTGTTTTCTTAAACCCATTATCGCTCCGGCCCAAGGGCTGTAATTTATTTTTATTTTATTTCAAATTTAAAGAATAAATTCTAATTACGTTCACACTCCACTAGCACAATCTTAATCCACAACTTCTTTATCTTTTCAAATTTTATCATTATTTTTATCTCTTATTTTCCAATTTTTTTTCTCTAATTCTTCTTTTTGTATTTATTTAATGATTAATTTCATATTACGACAATTAATTTTATATGTTTTCTTCTCAATGAGTTTTTATTATTAAATGTGTATAAATATTGATGTTGTTACTAATATCTCTAATAAATTTCATTATAATTGTTAGTATCATGTATCAAACTAATTATTATTTTTACTTTTACAACATTATTTTGTGCATCACATGGGAAAAAATGCTAGTTACTATAACCCCAACAATAACAATAATAATAAATGTTACTTTTTTTAGTTTAGTTATTTATTTATAAAAGCTATAAAAACAGAAAAAGACATAAAAAGTTTGAATGAAAAAGAAAAAACAAAGAACAGTGATTAAATATTACAAGTATTGTTGGATTTCCACTATCTGAAAAGAATTCAAAAATAAATTTTATCGAAATTTGATTTTTTTCAAGTGCATATCTAACCACGGAATAAAGATATCCAATTATCTTTATTTTTTTTCAATCAATTAATTTCTTTTTTTTTTTTTTTTGAGAAATTCAATCAATTAATTTCATCAGACTAGTATCAAAACTGAAACACAGGAATTCTAATCTCAAGTCTAAAAGAAACTGCATGTGTTTACTCAAACTCAAACATTGTTCATTATGACAACTCAGCACATATTTGAGTTTTTCATGTAATCAAACCTTACACTTAACCACACATCCAAAGAGAACTCAAACTGCATTTCTTTCTTTTAAAAATAAAAGACGCAAAAAAAAAAAAAAAAAAAACGAAAACAAAGTTATTGCTCCACTGATCTATAAGAACCGAATATGGTTGCAAGTTTACGCCTTGCTGTCAATGCTCATTGGCTCCACCTCCTTAGGAGTAGCGTTCTGCATTGTTCACATTTCGCACATCATCAGCAAACGGGAGACAATTAATTATATTAGTCCCGAATAATAACTTGCAAGAACAGAGCTTACGTTGGAATCAAATGTCTGTAACTTGGTCAATTTCGCAAACATGTTCCCGTAGAACTTAGCATCCTTCTTATTGATTTCCTTCACCTTCTCCTTCAGAACTTTGTATTCGAGCTTCACATCCCTATTTACACAAACAGAATAACACCTTGTATCGATTACGGGTATTTTTTTAAGAGGAAAATTTATTACTTTACGATTATAGAATTTCAAAATTACCTGTTGTCGGGATCTATTTCAAGAGCCTTTTTAATATCAAATTCAGCCAAATCCAAATCAGCCATGTTCATGTATGCTTGAGCTCTTCTGTAGAGGGCTTTCACGTTTGTTCCCTCAAGCTCCAACACCTTCAAGAAACTTCCACGTTAGTCGAAGAATTCACAGCCAATGTATTTTCAACATTAGAAAACAAAATGAAAAAATGTCAGGTAGACAAGTTAGTCAGACCTTGGTGCAAAGCTTCTCGGCTTGCTTATATTCTTTCAGTTTCAACTTGCAAGCTGCATTGTTCAAGTTGCAAGTCACCTTGAGCACTTTGGACTGTTTCTTTTCCTCCTCGCTGAAAGAGGTGTCGTATTCGATAAACTTGGCAGCCTGGATTGGATATCTCGTATACGTAAGCCAACATGATAAATAGGCATATATGCATCATTGGTGTTTGAAGAAAAACACCATCCTTCCAAAAATATTTTACCTTCTCGTATCTCTTGGAGGCTCTCAGATATTTACCAGCCTTAAAAAGTGCATTTCCTTCTTCCTTCTTCTTGCCAGCTGCTTCAATTTTTTCCTCGGTGTTCATGTCCCAAGATTCCTTGTCCTAAAACACAAATTTAGCAAGTTTAATAAGCCACTGATGAAAAAGAAAAGAAAAAAAAATTCACATTTACATTAATGACAGACATGTCTACTAACCTTAACAAAAGAGACAAGCTCAGCCTCATAGTACACTGTCGAGTTTGGAGGAACTATAGCCAGTTCTTGCTTCGACTCGGATGAACCGAATGCATACTCGGGGGCGATTTTCAAGAGAGCCACCTCTCCCTTCTTCATTGCTATCACAGCCTTGTCCAACCCCTCAATAACTTGCTCTGTTTTAAATAAGAAATAAAATATATAAGCAGATATTCAGAAACATCAATGCAAATTAAACACTAACGAAGAGAAATGTTCTTATTTTCACCTTCGTCTACTTTGAATTCAAAAAGATCATTTTCATCATCACCATGACCTTTCTTGATAAAGACAGTACCATCCTGCAGCTTTCCAATCAGTTTCACTGGCCAGCCAGAAAACATGTTATCAGATATACATCACAACTGACTATATACACACACACACACATATAAACATAAATCTGTTAACAAGCTTATTACATTTAACGACAGCTCCTTCATTCGGCTTCTCATATCCCTCTCCTTCTTTCAGAATCTTCTTCACTACTTTCTTGTCATCTGTGACATTGGAAACTGTTTTCCACGACACCAACTCTAGAGTGATATTCAATGTAGCGTTGGGTGGAACAGCTCCGTCACCATCAGAGGCGGGCTTGCCTTTTTCACCAAACCCATCTGCATCAGAGAGTAAAATATTAGAATAAAAACATTATACATAATATAATAAATTCACAATTCTAGTACTCTTGTAATAGGACATCTTACATTGTGGTTTGACTGTGAGGAGGACCGCTTCGCCTTTCTTCATTGTTTTCACAGCCTTGGAAAGAGCCGGACAAAAATGACCTGACCACAAAGTTACCATTACATTAGAATTTAAAAATTTGCAAAACTATAAATTCTCACGACAATGGTGTTGTCATTCAGACATGTACCTTCTTCAACTGTGAATTCAACGCCATCCGATTTGGAAACAACAGTTCCATCGTCCAATTTCACTTCATATTTAACTGTACCATTGGTAAGAATACAATTAGTACTATACAAATAACATATTTATTGAACAAGTCTCTCGAAAGGCATATCCACATACCAAACACTTCATCAGGGTCTTTGGGATTCTCCCATTTTTCTCCCTCTTTGAGAATCTTTTTGAATATTCCACCATCTTTGCAGATATCCTTCACACTGACCCACGACAGTAACTCGACATCAAACTGCAGAGTAGCATTTGGAGGAATGGTGGGAGGAGAACCAGATTCACCATATGCCAACTCTGCTGGTATGGTGAATATGGCGTTTTCTCCCTTCTTCATAGTTTTGATACCTAGGTCCCATCCTTTGATAACTTGTCCTGTCACAATACAAAGGGTTTCATTAACTGTCAAATTCTAACCCATTTATCAACTATGGAATCAATTAAACTGATAGGAGCTGAAAATCGACAAATGTAGATGTAACTATTAGAGATTTCGGCAATTAAGAAGAAATATCATAATAAATACTGTTTGTGTATGATTACGATGTTGGGCTTTGAAAATCTATGTTGCATGCGAACTATGGCGTTGGTTAAATTCATGAAAGCAAAAAAACATAGCAAGCAAACATATTAGAAAACTGGAAAACCTGAAATAGAAAAATCACCATACGCTAGATCACTAAATTACTTTTGGCGCCTCGTAGTTTCATAATTAATTTTGATCATGAGTTGAAACCCAACAGTATGTTAATTGACCTTTCAAAACATTAAGATAAGCCATGCTTCAATATCTCCACTGCCCTCTAAATTATATTTATCATCAAACGCCCCCAGCCACGATAATTCACCTCTATTTTCTACGACTGTAATACTAAATCTTAGTGTTGCAACTCAAATGCTCAATCCCAAATTCAATCATATATAGATTAATTAAAAAAAAAAAGTAAAAACCTAATTGATCAACAATAGAATGATAAAATGAAAACTCCACGAGCGAATGATTACTAATTAAATAGCTCATCCGCGCAAAAAATGCAATCCAAACACAAAAACAATGACGGCGAAAAAAACGATGAGAACGAGGTCTACATACCTTGGCCAAGAGTGAACGTGAATGGCTCTCCCCTGTCACGGCTCGAGTCGAACTTGGTTCCATCAACCAGCGTACCAGTATAATGAACTGATGAATTTCACGAATCACAAAAATGTCAAAAAACAAATCAACAGAAATTGAAATTTGAAAACACAAAATTCACCAAACGGAAAACAAATAAAAATGATAAATTACCAGCAACTTCATCGCCATTGTCGGGAGTGTCCCAGCCTTCACCTTCCTTAACAAGCTTCTTCTTCAAACCCTGCGATCCGATCTCCTTCTCATCTCCCACCTTCATGAAGTTGCTTCCCTCCGGCAGATCCATATCCTCGTCCATTCCCTCCGCCGCCGCCGGCATATCGAAATCGTCCTCCATTTCTAAAATTAGCTAAAAAAAATGCTGAAGAATAAGAGGAATTGAGATTTGAAAGTAGATTTGAGTAACGAGAGCAAAACGATTGATTAGCTAGAATTTGCAGTGTTGAGATGGAAAGGGAGGAGTGAGGAGTGGAATTTATTAATAAAAAGCGTGAGGAATTCTCTAGAGTGTTCTACCAGGGTTTAGGCTTGGAGAAACGTCACGATTATTCTAGACATTACTTTTATCCAATTCCATCCTCATTAATTAACATTTAACCCCTTAACTAATTCGACCCTCACTCTTTCTTATAAATAGATAAATGAAAAATTAATATTGGTTATCAATATAAAATTTAAATAAAAACTCAATTATTTTATTGGACTCGAAGACATTCAACAAAAATACATAAAGTTATTATATTTACAAAGATCTAATTATTTAATTAATAATAACTAATCTTCCCCGATCAAACCAAGTCTAAATCTACGGGTAATAATACTACCATCATCGAATTTGGAATTTGAATTTAAAACAAAACTAATTATGAAATAAATAAATAAATAAAATTCCCTAGATTTTATCATTGATTTTTTTTTTATTTTCAATCCAAATACGGATCAAGTGTTCCACGTTATCATTTTGATGTTTGCGCCTATTATTTTCTTTTTCCGGCAATTTTATGCTCAAATTTTACGGGAAACTTAGAAAACTGACGCGCCCCTCTTGTTTGGTTGCCAAGATAAGATTGGTCAGTATAAAATTAAATAATTTAATAAAATTCAATTATTTTACTGAACATTGAAATATCCAATAAAAACATGTCTATAAAGCAAAATAATATTTGCAAGTTGACAAGTTATTGGAATACCGAATATCAAACGAAGTCCAACTGTTTAATTAATAATAGCTCATCTCCCGTCCAAAAGAGACTTTTTTTTCAACTATTTAGTTAATTAGTTACTCTCCCGTCCAAACGAGGCCCAAGTATATATTTGTTTGTTTGTGCGTATTATACCCAATAAAAATTAGTGAATTCCATTGTGACCAAGTTGATATTCATGAAATGCGCGCACACGTGAAAGAGAATAATCAAGTGACAAATAAAAATTTCCTCAGTACCCAGATGGTCTGTTGTTGGAGCCTTAATCCAATAATATAATTTAATAAAAAATAAATAAAAGGAAATTGTCTATTTTGCAGAGATTTTGAAGAGGGGAGAAGGGAAAAAAAGATAACATCAGAACTACTTCTACACAATCTTGAAGAGATGTGCGGTTTTCTAGTTTTCTTGACAAGTTCAAAACCTACGAGAACATTTATAGTTCGTTGTCTTCTGATTTCTCATCATCATTCTCAGCATTCAATGTTTTGCCGTTCACTCCTACAAGCTCTGTGTCGAATACGAGTGCCGCTCCGCCTGCAAGTATTTTAACATTTGAAGCATCCATTAAATTGTCATATTTACGAGAAAAAAAAAAGCATACTCAAATAAGTGATTTTAACCTCCGACTGGCTTTTTCTTTTATACTGAAAAACAGTAGTAAAAGTCTTACGGGTGTAAATCAAGGCAAAATATTAACTCAACAGTTATTCTACTCCAACGACATGCAAAATATAGAGCATATAGAATGTACGTGTGTTTTCAGTTCACCTCGAGAAATACATCGACATTCGGAGTTGAGTTTATTATTACCTGGTATGGTAGGTGGGGAGCCTTGGTCTCCATAACCGAGTTTAGAAGGAATCTTTAACTTCCTTTTCTCTCCTAAGCACATACCCAGTAGTCCTTGATCCCATCCTGCAATACGACAGTTACATTCCGTCAATATACGTTCAATCTGTGGATCCGACATTCTGTTGTTAATATTATGTGCTAACTTTCCTTTATCAATAATAACTCCCCCGAGTCTCAAGTAAATTTTATACCATACGTACACCCTTCAATATTACCAAACCGAAACGAAAATGAAACCCGTTTGACAGTTGAAAAATAAGTGGAGAGCCGAGGAAACCAAGAATGATGTCGAAAACTGATATGTACTGACCTTTAATTACTTGACCACTGCCAAGTTCGAATTCAATTGGATCCCCTCTCTCGAAGCTTGAATCATAAACAGTTCCATCGGTAAGCTTTCCCTGCAAATGCCATTAGTATTTACATCAACGGGAGCAGATAGACAATCGGTTGGTATTAAATGCTTGTGTGTGTGTGTGTGTTGGGGGGGTGGATTTCGGCCATTCAACTATCCAGACTAGTCAAAGATTGAGAAACCTAAAATTTGTTAAGATTAAAACATCAACGCTAAAGACGCATACTGCAATAACCAACTGGATTATCATTACAAAGATTTTAAACTAAAAGGAATGCATTGTGTCTATGTTAACGTGGGAGGGAGGGAGGCGTAGTTCAACTGACCCTGTAGTGTACTTTTACACTGTCGCCTTTGTGTGCCTGAACCTCGCAAACTTTTGGCTTGTACTGCAATAACAAGCAAGATTAATTTCAAAATATCGGAATAAAATATAAGATAATTAATAACACATGATTAACTGAATATACAATCCCATTTTATAGAAGGGAAAGTGAAAACGAACAATGAGTAATACTTACGAAAAACAGTGATCTAATAAACCCAAACAACCAACCGAGATATCGTTCTCGTGTCAAACAGAAAGATGAAAATAAAAATCTGAAACGACATGATTTGAATAGTCGATACATCATACAATTGTTTCGATATTTGCTGAATTTTAACGATTCCGATGCTAGACCTACAAAAGTGTATCTGCTTATTCCATACTGAAAATTATTACCAGGATAAAATCTAATAATCTAAGCTCTCATCCCCACATTTCATCAGCTCGAATCAAAATCATAATTCAGACCATTCATAAATCATAGATCAATACATTTTGCAACAAAATTACAATCCCCAATCTCAATCGGTCAGTTACGACAAATACTGAATCATTTTCATTAAAATGAAAAAAAATTACCTTCACGCCGATCTGCAGATCCTTCACATCTCCAGATTTCTTCGCCGAACCTAAATCACACCAGCGATAAAATCAAACATCTTCAGAACAAATTTCTCAACATTCAATTAAAAATTAAAATTCTGCTTTCTTGTAATTTAATTTCATCTAAAATTGCCAGAACTCAACTACTCAGCATGAATTACAAAAAGCTAACAAAAAATATAGAGATTCAATTTCATTTACCTAACGCAATAAATGCCAAGAGCAAAACAACGGCAGCGACGTTCGCCGCAGAGCTGATCCTCATTTCGAATAATTTTGATCTAATTAATTTCTTTGTGGCTCGATTTAAACTTGGAACTGGAGATTTTATCGTACGCGCTCACGTCCACAGTAAGTAGGTACGGAGCTATCCAAGCCTCCAACACACCGATGCGAAGGGTGGCCAATAAGAACCTGACAGGTCAAAATGCGACGTGTCTCATTATAACTGAGACACGTGGATTTTTGAGTTTTTTTAATTTGTCGGTAATACAAACAGTTTGGGGCCTGCCCATTCAACTAGGTCTTTAATTGGACAGTTGCCCATTACTTGAACATAGTGAGCTGGCCCAATTTATTATCTGAAAAATAATGTCCACTGCAACTACGGGTGGTAAACGAGTTGGTCGACTTGTGAGCTTGATGAGTCGACTCGAAAAAAAACTCGATCCCAAACTCGAGCTTTTTGACGAGTCGTATTCGAGCTTTTTTTTTAATTGTTCATGAACTCACGAGCCGGCTCGTGAGCCTTCCTTTTATTTATTTTTTTATATATTATTTAAATATATATATAAATTAAAAATTAAAAAATATATAATACATTTCATTTTTTTTTTTTATAAAATGAGCTTCGGCTCGAGCGAAAAAACAAATACTTGTGAGCTAGAGCTCGATAAAGATGGGCTCGAGCATAGCCAAAACAATGGAGTTCGACTCGTTTACATCCCTAACTGCAACCCAATAGCATAAATCATAATGCTATCGACTTAAGTATTTTTTATTTTCAAAAAAATGTTCTAAATGATATTTGAAATATATACGGTGCACGGGGTCAATTCAAAAAATAAAATGCGTTTATGATAAAACAATCGAACAAAAAATTAAAATAGTTGATATTTTTTTTGAAATAGTTGATATTATGATATATATAATCCAAATACTTGAATACTAATTCAAATGGACCCTGGTAACTAAATCTTGGGCTCATACTTATATTATTTGCATTTTGGACCTTAGTTTTTTTTTGTTTTGGGTTCAGGCCCATCAGGAACCTATACGAGTACTATATAATATATTAATATTGTCACTACGTGTATTATTATATCATCATGAGTAATAATGATTTACATGTATTTTTTGTTACTTATAAGTTTACGAATAAAAATAGGAAACGAAGAAACTGATATTTGGCAGGGGAGGGGTGAAATTGAAGTTCCATTTAAAATAATCATAAAGTATGAGGAGTAAAAAGTGAAGAATCATACCAACAAAAGCCAAAATGTAAAGCGAAGCAAAAGTTGAGGGACTCCAAAGAAAAAGAAAAAGAAAAAAGAAGCCATGCATGGCTCTGGAAAAAGGTTGGAATAACTGCAATGAGAAAAGGTCTTTTGGTAAATAAAGAAAGGTTAAACATTGTAGGATCCAAAGACAATACATAATCTATGCATTTATGTTACCTTTTTTGTAATGTAAATATACATGCAATTTTTTAGGTAAATTTTAAATCAAGAAACACATTCTCTTAAAATGGATTCGTCTACGAGTATTGGGATTGTATATAAACGAGTGAAGTCGAATGAATCAAACATGGTGTCTATAAAAAAAAAGATCTATCACTGTTATCTAGATATTTGTATTTTTGTGTATGAACGAATGATAATAATATATTCAATCAAATTTACGTGGAGTGAGATAGAATAAATCGTTATTTTTTGTATTAAATATAATGATGACAAGGAACAAAAATCATATGAATATAATGCACACATAATTTGATTTCAAGATTTACATAATAGATAATAGAATTATTGATATTTAATATTAAACAAAAATTTGCCCAATAGAGGAATAACAACGTATACGAAGCATAGATAGATATATAGCGATACAGTTAATCTCCAACGGCTAATTGGAAATTCTGCCCAAAAATTGAAAGCTTTTCAGGCTAATGGGCCCCAAATATCTTCAACTTTTTTAAGCTTGCCTATCCAACAAAAGCAAAAAACCTTCTTAAAAATACCCCACCACTATATATATATATATATATTCTCTCACACTATTCCTAGTATTGTAAATTTCAAATTTCAATAATGTAATTATTATGAAAGAAACTATTGAATGAATCTTAAGGTCAATGGTGCAATAATCTTATTATCTTAAATTCTACTACATTGTATAAATTCCAAAAAATGATACACATTATCCTAATTAGATCAAATTATGAAAACTCCCCCAATATTTGGGTAATTACAACCACAATAAACTTTGTATTGTCTCACACGTCCACTTTTACAGTGTCAAAAATTATCTACTGAACGAGATATTGTATTTCATAAGACAATATATAGTTGTAATTATTCAAAAATGAATTTTTTTTTTCTCTTAATTTGAACTTACCTCGGTGTTGATCTTAATTTGGCCGCCCTAGTGATACGCCAGAGACCTATCCCAAAATCTCTCCAAGGCATTTATTGGTAATAAACCCAACCCCCAATCAAGTCCACTCTACGCTGCCCCCCAAATATAACTTTAAAAAATATACCCTGACCTTGACCTTTTCTTCGCCTGTCTTCTTCAAGCTATAAGCTCAACGTTTCACACACGCTTCTCTCTCTCTAGTTTCTCTCTCTACAATCCAGACACCTAATCAATGTTTCTTCGTTAAATCCTCCTTAGATGTTGATGTATATAAGTATCGTTCATTGATTGCTTCATCTACTCAATACTCTGCTACTGTATTTACTATTCTTCTTCTTCGCATCTGATTGAAGAAGAAAACAGAGCAAAAAAATCAACGATCATGGCTTTCTTTACTGCTTTCATTGCACTGTTTCTTCTCGCTTCACCGGCTACATTCTCCTGTAAGTATATTCATGTATATGCTCCTTTTAATTTTTTGAATTTCATCTACGTTTGCATATTATTATATGTAATTTCATTGCAGATGGAGAAATGCAGCCGAAAATGGGGGTTTGCTACGGCGAGCTCGGCAACAACCTCCCGTCGCCGGAGAAATCAATCCAGCTCATCCAAAAACTCAACGCCAAACGAATCAAAATCTACGGCGCGAATCCGAAAATCCTCAAATCGATCCAAGGCACCGACCTCCAAATCTCAATCATGGTTCCGAACCAGCTCATCTCCGCCATTTACAACAACCAAACCCTCGCCGACGATTGGGTCAAAACAAACGTCGTACCGTTCTACCCCCAATCGAAGATCCGTTACCTCCTCGTCGGCAACGAGATCCTCAGCAGCCAGCCGAATTCGACCTGGTTCCAGCTGGTTCCGGCGATCCGCAGAATCAGAAACGCCGTCAAGAAGTACGGTCTCAAAAAAGTCAAGGTGGGGACGCCGTTAGCGATGGACGTTCTGGAATCTTCTTACCCGCCGTCTAACGGAACTTTCCGGTCCGACGTTAGTGAAACGGTCGTTGAACCGCTGCTCCATTTTTTGAACCGGACTAAATCCTTCTTCTTCGTCGATGTCTACACTTACTTCGCTTGGGCCTCTTTGCCTCTGCAGATTAGCCTCGACTACGCTCTGCTCCAGCCCACGAATATAACCTATACGGATCCAGGTACGGGTCTGCTGTACACAAATCTGTTGGATCAAATGCTGGACGCTCATGTTTTCGCCATGGCGAGACTTGGGTACCCGTATATCCGGTTGTTCGTTGCGGAAACGGGTTGGCCAAGCGGCGGAGATCCGAACCAGATCGGAGCCAACATCCACAACGCCGCCACATACAACCGCAACGTCGTGAAAAAATTCATGGCGAAGCCGCCGTACGGAACTCCGGCCAGACCATACACCGTCATCCCGAGCATGATTTTCGCGCTGTATAACGAGAACCAGAAACCGGGTCAGGGTACGGAGCGGAACTTCGGGTTGTTGTACCCGAACGGGTCGAATGTTTACCCGATTGATTTGTCGGGTAAGACCCGTGATTCGAGGTATCCGCCATTGCCGAATCCTAACAGGAAGCTGTGGTGCGTGGCGGTGAAGGGTGCGAATTTGAGGGCGATGGGTGGGGCGATGTCGTATGCTTGCAGTCAGGGTAATCGGACCTGCGACCCGATCCAACCCGGAGGAAAGTGTTTCAACCCGAATTCGTTGGCTGTACATGCGAGTTACGCTTTTAGTTCATATTGGGCCCAGTTGTGGAAGGAGGGTGCGACTTGTTTCTTCGACGGGTTGGCCTTTATGACCTCAAAAGATCCGAGTAAGTTATTTTCCTTATTTTAATATTCTGATTATTTCAATTTTCTCATATTTTTTTGAATTTATTAATTATTGAATTCGTTTTATTAATCTTTGAATACTTATATTTTGCAGGTTTTGGATCTTGCAAATTTCCAAGTATTGACATTTAAAAGCATGTAGGTTTATTTCATTATTAATTTCTTGGACCTTCATTTAGGGTTGATGTTTTTGTACACTATTTGAAAGGCCTATTTTTGTGCTGGGCCGGGCTTGATAGCCCATTTTTTCGAAATCTTTTATGTTTTACGAAAAATAATATTTAATCATTTGATTTGTTGTAGCAAATTATGAATGTACAACTGATCCTAATAATTTAATTTACAAATTTGTAGTTGGATATTCTCGATTTACCGATATTTTCTATTTGCGTGTATTATATTCAGAAATTTAGTTATATAAATATTTTAACAATGTATGAAGAGTAAAGTCAAAATTGTTGACTTTCAAAATCGAAGGGGGGATCAGTAAAATTAACTAGCAGGGGGATTTTTTTGAATGGGAGTGATTAGCTCACTCAGATCTTGTCAGAAACGTATTTAAAAATAGAGGCTGATAAGATAAGATAAGATATATAAGAGTGGGTCCCAGCTTTATGCTTATTTAACCTCGGAGTACACAATAATTGCAAATAGATATCTTCACAATACAATTCAAATAGTTAGTGGTAACTTGCCGTTGGTGGGAAAGGCAATTGTTCGATTAGGTTTGTGTGTTGAACCTTCACTTTATTTCATTGTTATGCTTTTAAGGTTATTTTTATATTGGACATAGTGAATTTCTACCATTTAATTTACACATATAACAATGTGAATGTGTGTGTGTTTGTATGATAAATATCTATCTAGTGTATGTGATCATGTGTAACATAATATAAAAATCACTTAACTATCAGTTGATCTCCAGAATATGTAACTGGTTGAGTAAAATATCACAGAGAATGGAAGAAACTCGAATATTTATAAAAAATGCTACTAGGGTTTGATCTAGATTGTTCTAATGTTAACTCTTTATATATGTATATATATATATATAAACACATTTCGACAGACATAGCTGTGCTCTGTTTGGGGATGAGGTGACAGGCTTGCTTGAGACCGATGATGTTATTACAACCTCGTTTGCCGGTCTGAAGAGGTTTCTGTTGGAAGCTGTTGATTTCGGTTCTTTCTTGTGGGAATCGGAGAATTCTGTGAGTGATGTTTATATGCTCGACGAGAACTGAATTAACGGGCTCGTTTTTTTTTTTTTTTTTTTTTAATTTATAACTAGTAGGCTTATACTTTTGTATAGATGAACTATTTCTTGCTTGCATCTTAGCAAAAAAAATGTGGATGTGTGTGTAGTTTGTATATATACTTTTTTTTACTTATAATGTACATATAAGAAGTGATTTGGTAAAGAAAATGTTCTTCGTTGTCATCGGCAATTCAGCAATCGTCTTGTGTTTTTTCTCACTAATATTGTTTGCCTCGTAAATTAACACTAATTACATAATGCCCCTCAAATTTCTAAAATTACTTAAACCTACCTATATAAATATTCTAGGATGTGGTGGTGGCATATATTTTCTTAGGCATGCGATAACCACCCCTAATAACGGCATGATCTCGCCAATAAGGTCCGAGAGTGAGCTGCTCGACTGGTTTGAACTGATCCACCTGCAGCCTCTTCACTTGCACATCTAACACAAGCTCGGCAGGTATTGTCGAGTCTATGCTATTTGGCTGGTAAATTAAAAAATTGGAATACGAACAACACATCATCAAGAAGCTCGGCATTTTTTGTGGATATAAAATAAATATTAATCAATAATACAAACCTTTATTGATATCACAAAGTGGCCTCCGGCTTTCAAGAAGTACGACGCATTAAGACCTAATATTCTTGCCTGCAACATAGAGACATAGATATAAATAAATCACACCAGACCATGAAATGAATTTCCTCTTATAGAGATGAAGAAATAAAATGCAGAAACGAGCAGGACGAGAAAGAGAACACGAAACTAAGTTTGTAAAAAAAAAAAAAAAAAAATTCATTTAACACGTAGTAATAGATTAAGTGACAACTATATAGACATTAGTTCGGAAGAATAAACAAACAAACCAACCAGCAAAATGTATGATTTTATTAGTATTATAAAACTAGAACATACAAAGTAAGAAACACGAGATATAAATAAAGAAAGCAAACCTGGTCAGGTTGAGCAATATCAGAAATTATGACATCGACCATTCCGACGAGCATTCTGTACTTGCCAGGGTATCTTGCATCTTGAATTATAGGTACAATATTAGTCCTCTTCTTTGCCAATTTGACCAAGTCTCTACTACAAGTATCAGAATATTCAACTGCATATACCACCCCATTCTGCAGAAAGCAAATCGGAATCATCAAACACAACCCCCCATTATTAAACGAGACGAACAAGAGACATTCGATTCAATACTTACAGGGCCAACAATGTCCGAAACGTGAGATACAGTGGTTCCTGAAGCAGCTCCGAGGTACAAGACGGAGGAGCCCGGTTTCTTGATCATCAAACGGGAAATAGAAAAAAGGAAATTATAAATCTTAATATGCAAAAGCAAGAGCAGAAGAGGCAATATGGATGGATGGTAACTCACAGCCCAAATTCCCTCGATTCCACAAAGGATGGCGGCAGCCAACTTACAACGATAAGGATTCCATACTCTGTATTCTTTGTTCTGTTAAAGAATAAATGAATACAAAAATAATTATTTATGAACTGAAGTGATATCAGCTGATGCGAACAAATTGTGAAAATCCGGCAAAAGTCGAAAAACAATCTCAGAACGCACACACACATATATATATATATATATAACTCATCAAACAAAACACGAAAAACAACAGTTCAAGAAAGAAATTAATAACTGAAATAACATTGATTTGAATAAAAGTCAAGTCGAAACCTGAACAGAAACCCTCTTCTCATTAAAAACCACCGCCTTTCCAGGAACCATATTCTTAGTGCAAAGAACATCCTTTTTTCCCTTAGCGATGAAAACACCCTCAAGACGACTATGCGGATTCACCTCCACTTTAATTCCTCCTCTATATCCACCGCCGCCGCCTCTCCTCTAAATCGGCGGATCAAAAGTTGAGAATAAAAAAAATAGTCCGGCAGATGAAGAGATTGCAAGAGGAAACAGAGGAACTGGAAACGATAAAGAAATCGGAAGAAGAAATGATGAAGAAATTTCTAGAGGAGGCGATAATCGAAAAGGAGAAGCAGCTGGAAAGGGACAACAAACTTCGAGAGAAGCGGGAAATGGAGAGCCAACTGTTGCAGAAACTTTATCCGCACGCATTTCATATATCTCAAGGCGTATGCCCCATGTATGAACGAGATTCTACCGATTTCTATTCTCTCGAACGAATTCATAAGGGGCGTAAGGTGATTTTGAAGTTTACCGCCAAATGTGACGATGGTGATGACGATAAGCGGCGAGTCGAAACTTTCATTGCATGTATTCACTATCGATTCAACAAACCTTTTCAAGTTACGCGTGTTGAGTTGTCCTCTACATAGCTACCGGGGTAATTATTTTTTTCGTTTCTTACTTAATTAAGTTGCTATATACGACGATTTCATTCATTCATTATACAACTTGAAAAAAATTATTATTCTTTATTTGTTTGAAATTGGTTCGCCGGTTTTATTATTCTATATATATATATATATGTGTGTATGTATGCTCTGTTTTGTTGATTTTAATGTTATTGGGATGTGAACATACTTTATTTTGTTGCATCTAGAGTTTCTTTTTAAAATTGATTGTGTGTAGAGAGGGGTCAATGGCTGGAACAATGCTAATGTTTATTTTGACAATTTGCTTGCTATATTTATTCCCTTTTGGATTCTTGTTTTGTTTAGTTTTGCCTTTCACGAATTTTGTGGTTGTTCAGTTAGTGGATTTCGACACCCAATATCTAATCGTCGTATTAACTGATCAATGTACATTCGTTTCCCAATTTTGTTATGAAATTATTTGCCTAATTAAGAACAAATTGGTGAAACAGGGTTTTGCAATTGTCACGTCATAAGACATTTATATATATATAGGTAGAATTAACATGTAAAAGTTTAAGCTAGGAAAAATTGCTGTGAAATTCCTTGTCCAAGTCAAAAAAAATAGTGCTGCAAGTACAGTTTGACTATTGGATCTTCAACTTATGGCAGTATTACTACTAAATACTGCACAATTCATCAACTAATCAAATGAAATATTATTTTATCAAAAATATAATGTGTTGAATTATGCTTCATGTCAAAAGCAACAATTACAAGAACGAAAAAGAACTTCCAAAATATAACCACCAATCAGCATATTGAAATGACTTGTGGAAATTAAACAATCAGAAACAAATATGCATTTTTGACACCCAATATCTAATATATATATATAATTTCTCTACATCCAAAAAGCTAGAAAATTAGACTCCATTAGCCAGTCTAGGGGATCTTCCTATTCCATTCCTTCAAAATAAAAAATAAAAATATTACAAGATTAATAATCGATTACAACTAGATTATATCAAAAAAAATATCAACTTTAATAAAAATCACAAGGTTAATAATAGATTAGAAATATTGGAGACATAAAGATACCATCTTAGATAACATACCTCAATGTATGCTCCGTCGACATGACAATCGAACGAGACATATTTGGCCAAAATCTTCGCATAGCCACCATCACACCAATTATTACCAAAGGAATTTCGGATTTCGACGTACAGGTCTCCACTGTCGTACCCGATGCCTACCACGCTAATATCGTGTAACCCATCTTTGGGTTTTCCCTCCGGTCCTCTGTAAACGCCCTACAAAAATATGTATACATTAATAATATATCAATTATAATGATTTTAACAATAAAAATTATGAATTTACCTCGCCCTTGTGATTTTCGAAGGCCATACACACGTAGATTGACCCGGCAATCACGTGTCCCTGCATAAGAATTTCTTTAATTTCTTGAGGCCGAGTGTCGACGCCATCTAACTTTTGCACACGTTTAACCCATACTTTATCCGCCTTTCAATAATAAAAATAAACATAAAAAATATTATCAAAGATTAGAAAATAGATTATTTACCGAAATCATTTCAATAATAAAAATGAACATAAAAAATATTATCAAGAATTAGAAAATAGATTATTAATAACAAAGTGTTAATTTAATTTACTTACCGAAATAATCTCTTTCTTGTTTTTATTTACTTTTCCAATTTAATTTAATTTAATTCAATTTAATTTAATTTACTTTATTGTTATTATCTATTTTACTTAATTGACCTTGAAGTTTTAATTATTTTACGGGGTATTTTTGTCCATACATAAAATGGAAAAAACCACCTAGCATTCACACTTTTATATATAGTATAGATTAATTCGTTTTTTCTATCTATAGGTAAATATTTATTTCTTTCTCACACACACACACACGTGCACAGCCAGGCAGATAGATGTGTATATGAATCTGTTATTTTATTTTGCCGAGACCGCAACTCCCGATCAATTTTTCGGTGAGATGTATAGAGATGAACAGGACAGCCGACTAGTGATTTTTTCATTTGTTTCTCTCTTTCGCTCGCTCGTGCGTTCGCGCGATTATGTCTGTCTTTCTAACAAACAAGTGAGAGTTTGAGAGTTTTTCCGTGCGTCAGACAGTCTCTCAGATATATACATATGTACATATATCAAAATAAATTTATTAATATTAATATTTTTAAATTTATATATATATATATATATATATATATATATATATATATATATATAGACACACAACTAATTCTAATTGTTTGTTTTATGATAGTAAGTTGTTGGGGACAAACAAGTTCTGTACTAGTGATCAGTTACGAGCTCAAGTCAACTCATCAAGAGTTGTCTGATTATGAAGTCTCGGTGCAGGATTTAATGGACAATGTCTACAAACATGCGAACGTAGTCAGTTACTTTAAGGATGATCCAAATGATACTCACGTAGCATGTCCGCGTGAAGAAATGGAATACTATCTAAGTTCGTCTGAAGATGCACTTAAGTACATTCAGGATCATGGAGTTTGGTTGGTCAGTGAAGAAAATACACATCACTGTGTGATTTTTTTTTCTCTAAATCTTTGCCAGAAAAAAAGAAAAAAGGTACTCAGGATCTCATGTTACTTCCCTCTTGTTTCTGATTAATCTACTCCAAAAATAAATGTTGTTTCGTGTCAAAGAGAAACAAGTGATCGTCTTTCCCATGCATATATGTATGGAGATGTACGTGAATATACATTTCACTGTTTCAGATTTAGGGTTTTCACTTGCATCTTTAAAATCGCTGTATATTTTTTTTTGGCATATGAGGAAATGAATCACCATTAAAGGGTCTGAGCTACTGCGTTTTTTCAGCTAAAAAAATATGGAAATAATATAACGTTCAGTGCGTGCAGTGTGTATGTGTGTGTGTGTGTGTGTGTGTGTGTGTTCGTTCATCGTTCACATTTTTTAAAATCTCAGATCTGCATCTTTAGTTTGATCTTTATTTTACCCAGAAGCAATATCTTGAAGTACAACATAAGTTTTGCAGCGGTTAATTAGTGTTTTGGCCAGTAAATTTGTCTGCTTTGTTTCTATATTAGTGCTATTCTCTTTCCAGCCGCCTGACTTCGTCATGCTATACCTGAAAAACCCCATAAATAACTCCCAGTCGTCCCTTTTTCCTTTTTCACAAAGTCCATCACCTGACCATGGTTGCCCCTCTCTCTCTCTCTAGATCTCACAGACACACACACACATGGAGAGACACACACACACAGACACAAACACACTCACGCACGCACACACACACACGCACGCGTCGTCTCAGTTCACACCATTGCTTGGCATCATAAATGGCATCTGTGCGTGTTTGTTAATGTTTTGTTCTACATACTGGTTCGTCACAAATGATCACACTCTCTCAGACTAAACTAACATCTCCATTTTTTGTTGTACTCTGTTTTGATCTTCAAGACCTTTTGCCGCCGTTGAAGGATTGCTCGATCTGAGCTGCGGATGATGTCCAACTTTGCCGAAGAATTTTGAAACTTGAAAATTGAGTTGATAACGGTTTGTTCTTTAATTTCGACTTCTTTGATTATATATATATATAGCCATATAGGTGAATTTTCACGTATTTTTCTTTGACTAGAAAGGTGTGACGTGCGTTGCACGTCTCTATTAATTTATGTATATATTAAAGTATATTAAAATAGTAGATGTGATTTTATTTAATATTAATATATATATATACTATGTATTTATGTTACAATATCTATTTTTTCTTATGTTATTCAAGTAATTACTATCATCGTCTTGAATATCATATGTGTAGTGATTTTTTTTTCTTTTTAATTAGAACATTTTCGATCATGTGATTACTTTCATTTCGAGTTGTCTCATCTACTCTTGATTGTTTATTATTTTTATTTTTTTTCATTTTTAGAACAAATGACTAATAAATATTAATGAAAAATTAAACATAAATGAAAAATTGGATGGAGACATGATCATTGTCGTGAACACACGGTTCACGAGTGAGAATCGACCTGGGTTCACAATTCAAAAGTACAAGACCATTAACCAATCTTAAGATTAAGAATTTGATTATAATTTTTTTTTATTTAGTACAAGGGACAAATGAATATTAATGAAAAATTAAACATAAATGAAAAATTAAGATGAATTAATCATTAATTCATTTTTTCACAGTGATGTGTATTTTCTTCACTGACCAACCAAACTCCATGATCCTGAATGTACTTAAGTGCATCTTCAGACGAACTTAGATAGTATTCCATTTCTTCACGCGGACATGCTACGTGAGTATCATTTGGATCATCCTTAAAGTAACTGACTACGTTCGCATGTTTGTAGACATTGTCCATTAAATCCTGCACCGAGACTTCATAATCAGACAACTCTTGATGAGTTGACTTGAGCTCGTAACTGATCACTAGTACAGAACTTGTTTGTCCCCAACAACTTACTATCATAAAACAAACAATTTGAATTAGTTGTGTGTCTATATATATATATATATATATATATATATATATATATATATATATATATATATATATATATATATATATATATATATATATATATTTTGCATTGGCTCAATGAGAGAGTTACTCTCGGGGTGAGTAATCTCCCGCAATTTCATAAGCAATTGAACCCTTTTTTTTGCGTCGGACGGATCGAAAACAGCCCGCCATGCTTCCATTTCTTCCGCATCAGTCGGGAGATGTTCATCCTTTGTACAAATCATTGGCTCCATGCTCAAGTGCTTCCAATACGGGTCTATCCAGTCCAATGAGATGGGAGTGCGATTTATGACGTTACCATGAAGTTCGTGGGCGCAAGGTAATCCATGAGTGGTTCGGATATCGCAAATACAAGACATAAACTCGTTCGGAAGCAACTCAAGTGATTTTTTCACCTCAAGTTTGAGTTGCTCAAGAGCGTACAACGACACACATCCTCGAAGTTCGTTGTATATCGTTACTTTGTAACTGTGTTGGTAAGTATTCTTGCTCTTCTCAAACGAGGCTTTGATTTCCGTATGTTGATGCATCAGTAGGTTGTCAATATGAGCCCAAATCTTTACAAATGTGCCCATACTATTTCCCAACTCTTTCTTCATTCATGAGTGTGCACCCTCTACCCGATTAGAAGTGTACGTTCCAAGATGCCTATGTTTGTTTGTCCAAGCCGAAACAATCATCTCTTTGTACGAATCCAACCACGAATGAGAGACATAAGTTAAAGCATCCGGGTAGTCAACAAAATTTGTTTTCATAACATCCCATTCTTTATGAAATGACTCTTCTGTCTCTTGACCAACAAGACTTGCCCATTCCGACTCAAAATCTTTCCACTTATCATTGTTTGTTTTGAACATCTTCTTACAATTACTAAGAATGTTTTTGCTCACGTGCCATCGACACAAAAGTTGTTGACTGGAGGGATATACGATCTCTATAGCCTTCATCAAAGCCATCTCTCGATCTGTGACTATACAATTAGGTCTAGGACAACTTTCCATGACCTTCGCCAAGCTCTTCAAGGCCCATACGTAATTGTCTATTTTTTCCGCCCGAAGGTATGCAAATGCAACAGAGAACGTTTTATTCGTAGAAGTAATACCCACAATCTCCAGGAATGGGAGTCCGTGTATGTTGGTTTTGTATGTACAATCCATAACCAATACATACGGATAACTACATGCCAATTTAATGCACGTAGGGTGGGTCCACAACAAGTCCATTACCTCGTCGGTCTCCTCCAAATATCTGTGATACTCGAAGTATTTTCGGACAACTTCAACATCAACAATTGCATTTGAGTTCTACCAGCATTCTCTTTGAACTGGATCTTCTGACGAGCATTATAAACCGTCTTAATTAAAGACGCATTTGTAGGATTCTTCAACTTTAGTGATGATAAGATTGTCTTTGGTTTCACCAATGCGTTTGACAAGTCTTCTACCAGTGCCATCTCTTCACTTGTTAATCTTCCAGCATATGAGTGACCTTGAAAGTTTTCAAAATCTGAGTGGTTGTGACTACCACATTCAACTGTCAACACCCACCCAACTTCTTCATCATCCATGCCCATTTTTTGGCCCTTCAACTCAAACGGACACTCACATATCTTGGACGCTGTTTGCCTTTTTCCCTTTCATTGGTCGTCTTGACCGGGTACCTTTTTGCCACGATACACTCCCGCACGCTCACATACAAGTACCACGTAGGGCCTTCTACGTCTATTTTTTCCCGGGTTTGAAGGCTTTACTGACATTATCATTCCTAGTCGCATACCAACTTCGCGCACCCATGTGACTAAATTGTCCCTTGTTGCAAACTCCTCATGGGTGGTAAATTCATGTGAATAATCCAAAGCTAATTCCCTACATGCATTAGCTCCACTACACGCGCTAGGTACAAAACTCTGCAAGAAAAATCGGAAAATTGGTTACACAATTGTAACATTGATAATTCGACACACCAGCGTCGAAATATGCGCTTAATATCGACACCATAATGTCGAAAATTTCAATATAATTCGACAGTTAAGGAGTGTCGAATTATGTTGAAATTTTCAACACTACTGTGTCGATATTAAGCGGATATTTCGACCTGTACATGTCGAATTTTTTGTACGTGAAATGAGGTGCGAAAAACGAGAAAAACGATCACAAAGTACAATATTTCTTACCTCTTTGTGTTCTTCGACCTTAGAATCCTCCATATTTATGTCGTGTGTATCCATAATGTCCTTCTTTTCAAGTTTTAGTAAGATTTGAGGGTTTTATGTGATAAGAGTTTTGGACAATATGGAAGTTTTTTTTGTGGAAAAAAATGTGTAAAATGAGGGTGAAGAAGAAGAAGATGTTGGTGTTTTGTTGGGGGAGTGAGTTCCCTCTCTTTTTTCCTTTTTTTTTATTCTTTTTTTTGTATTTTTTTTTTTTGGTCTTGCAATAGCAATTAGCTTAATTTAAATTAATAATATCTAAATTATTATTGGGGTTATATTTGTAATTTCCAGTCTTGATCTTAGTAAATTTATTTATATTTTGGTCTTGCATGAAGTAAGGTCTTGCACTTAGTAATTTTCGTCTTGCAAATATCTGCAGCCTTATTTCATTATTAATTTCTTGGACCTTCATTTAGGGTTGAAAGGCCTATTTTTGTGCTGGGCCGGGCTTGATAGCCCATTTTTTTCTCGAAATCTTTTATGTTTTACGAAAAGTAATGTTTAATCATTTGATTTGATGTAGGGAATGTACAACTGATGTTTGTATCCTAATAATTTAATTTACAAATCTATATAATATATAAAAGTTGAATTGCATAGCTAATTGATTGACATTTGGCAATTTCAATTGATGACATGTCTTCAATTTCATCCCAAGTGGCGAATTGGTTGGTCGAAATAAATCATCAAAAAACATGTCATCATTTTCCAAAATTAAAGATAGTTAAATATGTTTAATTATTTTATTAATATATTTATATCCTACCATATATAAAATGCTCTAAATATATCAACTTTTTTGAAAACCCTAAATAAATTTATTTTTGAATTTAATTTTATAAATAATTTAATTTTAATTTAGTTAAATTCGATTTAAAATCTTCTCTTATTATAATTGGATGATTGGTGGTGTTACGATTTTTTTTAATTTTAATTCATAAACTTGGATTTATATTAAAACAAATATTGTAGAATAAATTATTTGATATTATACATTTTACATGAACATGACTAGAGAATATGTATTTTTTTTTACTAATTTACTATTATATATTAATATTATCTATAAAAAAAGATAGATATGTGTTTGAATTTACTATCTTGCGAAAATTGACACCATTTGTTATGCCATGTGTAGAGTAATATACTCCCACTTATTTATCATATTGAAAATTATACTACATGAATTTCATGTTATTATTTAAATAATTATTTTTTTCTTCACTGAAGAATCCAGTGACAATAAATTTTACGATTGATTTAACTTTTTAAATTATATACTAATTAAAATACAAATTTTATCATGATTATACTAATAAATTGAATGACCTAAGCTAAGTTTAATCAATTGATAAAAAAATGAATTGATTTTATATATTTCAAAATATAATAATTCTAAATATTTGGTATTAAATTCATTTTTATTTAATGGCTAACATTAATAATATCAATTGTTTTGTTTAAAATGTATAATGATCGTATATACTATATATTGTATTCCACTAATAAGGATTTTATTATGACTCTAATAAATATAATTATGGAAATATCTAGATCAACACTAACCCAAAAGTATCAAAATGAGTTTGCAAATATTTATGTGCTATTTAATATTTTATTTTGATATTTATATAAATGTATTTGCTCCAACCATAGGTATTAAATCGTTGTTAATTAAATATATCTAATTGCCACATGTTATTTTCTAAATGGACACTGAGGTGGTTGAATTCATAACTCATGTTTGATATTTTATTCACCATGATTGCATAATGTATTTTTACATTTGAAAGATGAAATATCAAAATACCTCATTTCATAAATCTAATGGAATTAAAAATTACTATTTTGGAGAATAAAAATGGTGGTTAAATGTTTTGATAGCTCATTTAATAATCTCACTCGAAGTGCTCTTGCCGTATATAGTTTATATTAATAATTTACCTAATGTTTGTTTCCCTCTTACATCAACCGCTTATGGTATGATTTTTGAAGGAATTTTTTTATTACGTGAAATATTCCAATAATGCTTATTATACCCTGCACACACGACATTTCTTTATGGTACTTTTTAAATACAAAAATTACCCTCAGGTGAACTTTACACGAAATATTTATTCTTCTTAAATAACACTTTCACAATTTTTTATTATTACCATGACCACCCCTGAGGGTAATTTTTAAGTTTAAAAAATATGATAAAAGAAATGTCCCGTCTGCAAGGGTAGACTCCATATTTTTTGGGATATTATATAGAATAAAAAAGATTCCGTACAAAAATCACACCATAAGGGGGTTGTGTAAGACATAGACAAACATAAGGGGAATTTTAGTAATCACCGATAAGTGGGGGTGTTTTCTGTAATTTAGTCTAAGTTCAGGAGGATTTTCATAATTTATCTTATTAACAATGATTATTGTTCTTTTACGTCTTAATGTTTGCTTATACCCTTATAATATTTTATATAATTTTAATGTCAATTTGATAATATAATTAAATATTAATTTCTAATATATTTAATATGTGTTTTTTTATGGTTCAACTACCACACATAAGAAATTTGATATAAATGTTCGAGATTGAATAGAATTATTTTTTTTATACTAAATAATAGATCATTGCAAAAACAATTGTTGCAAAATTAGAATTTTTGATTATAATTATAATTATAATTATAATTATAATTATAATTATAATTCTTTGAATTAGTATTAGTATTAATACTAGAAATAGGATTCAAATTGTAATTATGATTAATATAATATTAGGATTAGAATTATAATTAAGATTATGATTATGCTTAGTACGATAATTAGTGACATGTATTAGTATTAGGATTATTATTAGCATTAAGTTTGGGATTAGAATTATAATTAAGATTAGAATTAGAATTAACACTAGCATTAGCATTAACATTAGTATTATTAGTATTAAAATTATTAGGCTTATGGTTAGTGTTAGGAATAGGATTATGATTAGGATTAGGATTAGAACTATGAGCAGTGTTATGAAAAGAATTAGGAATACGATAAGGATTTGGATAATATTAGAATTACAATCATAATTAGCATTAGCATAATAATTAGCATATCTAGATTACATTAGCATCAAAATTACTATTAACATTAACATTAACAATATTAACATATTAGTATTAGTAATAGTATTAATAATAGTATTAGTTGTAATATTAGTATTAGTAATAGTATTAGTATTGGTATTAGTATTAGTATTAGTATTAGTATTAGTATTAGTAATAGTATTAGTATTGGTATTAGTATTAGTACAGAAAGCCAACGGCCAGTGGCGAATGTGCATTGATTTCAGGGACTTAAACAAGGCTTGCCCAAAGGACGATTATCCCTTACCTCGCATAGACCAACTTG